CTGCCGCCCGCCCGCGCAGCGCCTCACGCGGATGAATGGGAAAGGCGCGAACCAACCACCAGGCCCAGCGACGCGGAGCCCCCGAGCGCGCGCGCTCTCTCTCCCCGTCTCTCTGGAGACGCCATCCCTTCTCTTTCCTCCTTACCATCGCGACGACGAGCAAATGCTGTAGGCTACTCGCCGCCGACCCAGCTCTTGTCCGTCCCTGGTGCCTGGAGCGCCTACCCCAGCACGGACCACGAGAAATGGCCGCCCAAAAGCAGCGTGACCTTTCACCTCCGACTACTGCTCTTCCGCTCCTATGATTGGACGCAAAGAAGTATGTGCTGATTGGAGGAGATGGTGAGCAGTGTATCCTAGCAACCAGCGATGCTGCGCGCTTTGGATCCTTCCGCGCCGGCCTTTGGGATGCCTCCGCCCCTCAACTCGCGGGGCGGGGGGGCCCCCTGCGAGACTGCGACGGTAGTGAGGCCGGCGCGGTTTCTGAAGAAGGAGTTCGGGGCTCTCGAGTTTCTTCCTCACTTTCCCTCAGATTCTGTGATCTGGGGGCTCCTCTGCCATTGTCCCCTTCTACTTGACTGTTCGCCATTCTGTAATGCTCACTTCGACCCACTTAAAAAAATGTGGGAGAAGCAAGACTAAGGGAGGTGAAACGCACCAAAGAAAGTCAAGTACAGAATATATTTCAGATGAGATCCTATGGAGACTAGACTATGGTGCGGTCTTTTGCATCGCCAGCAGACACCTGGCGCGGCCCTTTTTCGTGAACAGGATTTATAAACTAAGGACGTGGGGGATCTTTACACTCGCCCTGACTATCCTTGAGAGCGCAATGGTGTTATTGGTCAGAATCCCACTTGTTCTTCTCCAGTTCAGACTTTCAGCTCGCTCTGATCTGAAATGCCTAATGCAGTTCTTGGAGAATACACACTTTTAGTAGTACTGTTTTTTGGTTTTGTTCTTGCAACGCTAAGGAGAGGAATTTGGGCTTTAAGTTTAGAAGTTGTGTATTGAGGCCTTGTGGAGAAGTGGGAACGACCGGAGGCAGCCTGAACTCAGAACCTCCGTCCATCGCGTGAGGATTAGTGTCGGGCAGTTTCTTAACTTCCTAAGGCTTTGTTTCCTCAGCTGTACGTGGCTTGATAAACTAGCCACAGCTTTCTGGGGATTAAATAATTAATGAGGAGAGGTTAGGGCTGTGGTTGGCCATGTAAGGGCTCTGTAGATGTTAACTATAACTTTAATGTTGTCCCTGCAGATGTTGGAGAATGCTGACAAAATACAGCAATTTGGGGCATGGTTTATGCCAAAGAGTTGGAATTATTTACCCCAAAGTTCAGTGGGTTTTTTCCTTAGTTCCAGAACCATTTAATGGATATTTAGCTTTTGTACAGATTTGGCGTTCCTCCCATGTGCCAGGCTCTCCTTCACAGTTGTTATAATGGAAATCTTCCTACACAGACCCATTTAGTAGTCACAGCCCCATTTCTGAGATGAGAAATGAGCTGAGCAGGTAACTTGTGCAGGGCCAAGCTGGGTTTCAACCTGAAGATTCTTTGCTTTTCCTACTTTATGATGCTAACTTTCAAAAGCTTTAGAAGTCTTATTTAGAACTTATTTTCTAATTTTTTTCATTGAATTTATTGGGGTGACATTGGTTAATAAAATTATATAGGTTCCAATTGTTCAGTTCTATAATACATCATCTGTGTATTCACCACCCCAAGTCATGTCTCCTTATGTCACCATTTATCCCCCCCTTTACCCCATTCTACCTCCCCCATCCCTTTTCCTCTCGTAATCACCATACTGTTGTCTGTGTCTATGAGGGTGTTTTGTTTTTTTTTGGTGATTGATTTTTTTTTTTTTGCTTAATCCCTTTATTTTTTATACCCAGAACTCCAATCCCCCTCCCCTCTGACAGCTGTCGGTCTGTTCTCTGTATCTATGAGTCTGTTTCTATTTGTTAGTTTATTTTGTTCATTAGATTTCACATATAAGTGAAATCACATGGTACTTGTAGACGACTTATTTTTTAGATATACTTTAGAAGACTTATTTTTTTAGCTGTTATTTCAGTGAAGGAAAACAAAACATTACTGTAATCTACATTAAAATGGTTATGTTCAAAGTTGGTTTTTCTCCTTATGTTAAATATTAATCTCATGTGGATCCTAAAGCAAATTAAATCTGAAACATTACTGGAGGCAAAAATAACAAAACTGAAGCTGCCCTACTTCAGGCACATAACGAAAGGCAGGGTTCTTCAGAAAAGACAATAATGCTGGGAAAATAGAAGGCAGCAGGAAAAGAGGAAGACCAAATATGAGATGGATTGACTCCATAAAAGATGCCAGAGCTGAGTGGCTGTTGAGAAGAGGACATCGTGGAGTGGCCAGAAGTCATAGTCAGGTTTATTCATACTAAGTTCTAGCAATTATCCGGCTATGCTAATTGTAGCTGCTGCAATTCTGAAAACAAAACATTTTAAACATTACACTTGGTACCATATATTTGGTCAAGTCCCTGGACCTCTCCAGGCCTTAGTTTTGCACTAGTCAACTTAAGGGATTGAAACAGATTATTTTAAGGGCCTTTCTAGCTTCAATATACTATTACTAGAGGCCCGATGCATGAAATTCGTGCAAGGGGCGGGGGCCTCTGCCGCCTCTGCCTCCTCTGGTCTAATTAGCATATTATGCTTTTATTATTAGGGGCCTCTGCTGCCTCTGCCTCCTCCCCGACCACTGCGGCTTCATACGGAAGGATGTCTGGTCTAATTAGCATATTATGCTTTTATTATTATAGATCTCTGATATTTTAAATTAATAACTGGAAAAAATGAAGATTAAAATAAATATAATTTCCATTGTAACTATGCTTTCAATTATAGATTAGTTATAATTTATTAATTATTAATACATATTAATTACTTTACAGTTTGGGCAACAGTAAGCTTCTTGTAGATTAAACCTTTCAGTTTTCCGTGTATGTTGAGAACACTAGGCAGTAAAATATAATTATTTTAAAAGCATACAGTGTAAAGTGAGATTTTTCAGTGATGTTAACACTTGTATCTTGATTCTCAGAGTACAGTAGAGCAATTAAAAATGTGATAAATTAAGAAGGAAAACTAAAACTGGTTAATCCTTACAACAATGTTGTGAAGTAGGTATTATTAGCTAGAGTTGCTAAGTAGCTTGCTCAAAGTGCCACAAGGAATATACCTTTAAGTCAGGATCTGTCTTTCTCCAGACTTTGCTCCTTTAGCTCTTCTAATCCAAACTGTAAGAACCTCAGGGAAAACAAACAAAGCATCTTCCACACACAGTTCATAGCCTCAGTAAGATAGTGAAATTCCTATACTGCAGACTGAGAGTGAATTCTTTTGAGAGATGTGACTGTCGACTTAATTACCCATACACATGACCTTCTGTATAGTATCAGATTCATCTGTCAGTCTCTGAATCAGGCTTTGGTGAGTGGTCAAAATTAAGATCACTCATATCAGAATGTCTGCTATGCTCTATTTCATTCTCTGTCTATAAGCAGAGGACACATAAACAGCTAGCTCCTGGGACTTTAGAGGAAGACTTAGCTTCTTACAAACCTACCACCTCTTATTTTTATTTAAATATGTTTTTATTGAGTTTTAGAGAGAGAGGCAGGGAGAGCGATAAAAACACCAATGAGAGAGAAACATCATTGTTGGGCTGCCTCCTGCATGACCCCCTACTGGGGATTGAGCCTGCAACCCAACCATGTGCCTTAACCTGTTGACCTGGGTCAAGGCTCAGCTGCTGAACCACACAGGCCTGGCACTACCTCCTCATTTGAGTAGTTGTCCTTCATAGGCTTGCTTAAATAGACCTTTTCCTATGACCGCCCCCCCCCCCCCCCCCCCCCCCCAAGGACAGATTCTCAGCCCCCTGCCAACTGGTGAATATATTGCTTATCCTCATCTTTACGTTTTACTGATAGTCTTCATAATAACTTACCTAGAAGACAAATGGCATAACTTGCTTAGAAGACAAATGACAACTGATTAAGGAAGAATCAATCTTGGTAGATTCCTGCCAGATACTCCTACCATTTTAATGTGAACTATCAGCAGTTTTTGTCATGATAGAAGAAGGAAAGGATGATACTAAGAACTATTGCCTTCTCTCAAAAGCAGCATATTATCTATTTGCATTGTTTTTAGAGAGGATTTAATGAAGTCGACATATAGATTATGCATAGCATATTGCCTTTGCACATGGTGTTCCCTCTGCGTGGAATGCCTTTCTCTTCCTTCTCTGCCTACCTTCCCAGAGCCAGCCCAAATAATACATTCAATATGAGCCCTTCCCAGACTCCCATGGCACCACTCTTTCCTCAGGTTCTGACAGCACTTTTTTCCTACCTCTGGGATAGCAGTTAACATGTTGCAGAACAGTCTGTATCATTATTTGTGTGTGTCTTGACTCAACTGGAAGCTTCTTGAACACAGGGACCAACGTGTGCTTATTCATCTTTGCAGCCCCTGCACACAGAACAGTGCCTAGCACAGAGTAGGTGCTGGGTTACTGATTGTTAAATAACTTCCCTGCTATAGTGTGAGATTTTTCTTGCTGGGGTCCAGACCCATATTCATGTATTGTTTTAATTTATTTTTATAAAGTAATAAGTATTCTCCTATTTATTTATTTCCTCTATACATCTGGTTATATCACATTCCTAATTTGTATGTATGTGTGTGTGTATGTATATATATATATATATATATATATACACACACACATATATA